TAAAAGCAAATATCTCAACTCTGTGTGTTTTGGGGCTCTCTACACACAGGGTGGAAGAACCCATATCTGGGACAACATGTCTAGTGAGTGCAAGGGTTGCTGTTCTGGAGACTTCCTCAGGTTGCTTACAGAAGGCTTTGTCCATTTTCTCATTTTCCCTGTCCATGTCCATTTTCCCTGACTGAGTGATTCTAACTCCCCCCATGATGTCAGCTTCAGTGGCAGTGAGTGCAAGGGTTGCTGTTCTGGAGACTTCCTCAGGTTGCTTACAGAAGGCTTTGTCCATTTTCTCACCCTGACTGAGTGATTCTTACTCCCCCCATGATGTCAGTTTCAGTGGCGTCTCCTGTATTTCTCACCCACAAATGCTCACTCAACCTGTTGTCTGTCCCATGGGGAGCTCCACACATTTGAGCTTCCCCAGCTAACAGAGAGTATCCCGCAGTCTCATTCTCTTACTCTCCCCAACCCCACCCAGCCTCTCCTAAAGAGCTTGTATCTATCCAACACAGCACCCAAAGCTGTGCAAGCTGTCACAGCAGTGATGGCATGAGGAGCTCCAGGTCCTTCTGCCTGTGTCTGAGATGAGGGTATTTGTGTGTACCTGGGTAGCAGCAGCTGAGCAAAGTCTTCTCATGGGGAAAATTGGAACCAAGCACCCAGGACCCCATGTATGCAAAGGCTTTACTTCAAAGCAAAGACATGCTGGAATGGACTGCAGGTGGTAATGTGCTGATGAAACGAGATGTCCACAAAGACAACAAACCTTCCAGTCCCCAAGGCTGGGGGAAATCAGGCTGGAGCTGTGCAGCCCTTGCACGCGAGTCTTCTGCCTGAGGTGACTTCTGCAGCTTGTTGTGTCAATTGCCATGAACACAGGGTGCCACTGAGAAAGTCCCTGGGTGAGGTAAGCTTGTGATCCAGCCATACTGTGGACATCAGTGGCATGTTTTTTCTTCATATCATTAGGCAGCTGTGTACCTGCCTAATTAGGCAGGGGAAAGGAGAACCATCATGGGTTGAGAGCATGGTAGCACGAGTGAAGACCCTGGTGTGATGTGCCTCCTAATGCTGCAGCATCTCTGGGTGTAGATGGTATGGACCTTGCCTCTGTGCTGTGGTGTTGGTGTTCAGGTCTTTGCACATAGGCACTGGAGGGAGACCATGGGATATCTGGCCCGCAGCAGCTCCAACAGGGCACAGATTCCCTGGATGTCCTGTGCAGTACTTGCCAGTCACATGTGTTTGCGCTGGGTACCCCAGGCACCCGGCATGGCACTAGAGGCCTTTCTTATGCCATTAAAATAAGAACCCTGAATTAATGTAGGTGCTTGCAGTGCAGGGATGTGCACATGTCTTAGTTTTGTAGTGAGCTGAGCTCTAGTGAGTGTGATGGATGGAGGCAATAGAGAGACCTGGTGCACTCCATTTGGTTTGCTGAAAACCCTGCAGGCAACAAGGAAGTGTGAGTCAGATGCCCTAAACATTTGGTGTAATCTGAGGTGACCAAGGATGCCCGTTCCCACTGCCCCACAGCTAATGCTCAGGCAGGATGTGGGTTTCTCATATTCGCGGCAAGAGTCTTAGATGCTCCAAAAGCCACCAGGTCCTTGTGTGTGAGTAGCTGACTGCCACCCTCCATCCCGTGGGTCACAGTGAGAGTTCAGGGAAGGGTCTGGCCTGCAGGCACCTGCTTTGTGCAGACCTGAACAGCAGCAAGAAGAATGCCAGCTCCTGTTGGTCTGTAGATCTGAGTCCCTCTTCAGTCTCAGGGCCCCTAAGCAGAAGTGAGATGGACTCAGCTGAATACTTACCCGACATGAGAGGAAATGACCCCTGCTTGTCACTGCCAAGGTGTCCTGCCTGGCAATAGAAGAGGGATAGGGCCTAATGGAGGGGGAAATTTCCTCCTTTCATAGACCACCATGTTCTGTTAGGACAAAATAACTCTCACGAAATCAGCCTCTCCAAGGTTCAGAGAGGAACATTCAGTGATCACTTCAGTCTGCTTCAACCTGCACAACCCAGGAGGGACCCTGCTGCATTTCAGGAGCTGTCAGCCCTGGAGCTCTGGAAACATCTCAAAGGAGGCTGGTGGCGGGCACAGAAAGTGATGCCTTGGGCTGGTGCTCTGCTGCTGAGCATGGACAGGCTCCTGGGACAGAGGCAGCTCATGGCAAGCCTGCAGCACTGCCCGGAGGCAGCTCTGCCCAGGTACAGGTCCTCTGCTGAGCTGAGTGCACTGCTTGCAAGACACCAAGGGCAGGTGAACAAGGCAGAGAAGTTAAAAAGTCTGTTGTGGGAGAACAGTCTCAGCCCTTTACACGGTAAGTCTCTGTCTGCAGGGCAGTGCAGAGGAGTATCCTGGAAGTATCTTTTAGAACTGGCACGTACCATGGTTTATGCAGAGGAGGAGAAGGTGCTCCTGAGCAGGGCTTCCCTGCCACACTGTCAAAGGACAGGACGTGACATCTCCCTTCTGCCAGGAATGTCGGCAGTGGTGTGAAGCCAGGCGTGCAGCCAGGGGTGCCCAGGGCTGCCCTTCAGAGCAGGGACCCTCCGCCCCACGGGCTGTGTGCTGGGACAGGGACTCTGCCGCCTGCCAGGGTCAGGTCTCAGACTGCCTTCCTCCATGGCACTGCGGGAAGAAGCTTTGGGTGGAAGGAGCAACCTGTTTCAGGGCACGTCCTGATTTTGGGAAGGTGCTGTGTGGGTCAGGGCTGCTCACATATCCAGATCACCCCCAGGGCATCTCTAGCGGAGACTTTTCAAGAGGAAGCTCAATGCAGGGATTACTGTAAAGATAAGGAGCTTTCTTGTGTTTTAATTTTCCTGCTCTACGCATAGTGGGGTGCAGGGAAGGGAGAGATGGAAAAGGAATTCTCAAGTTTGAACATGTCACAGAGATGTCTGATCTGCAATTTCAAGTGGTCAACAGGTCTGCGAAGAGCCTTGTAAAGTGCCTTCAGCCCCTCCTCTGCCTGTGGACAGCATTAGCATCACTTTTGCTGGACCCTTCATGATTGTTCTGACCTGCCCCTTTCCACCTGGAAACATGAACGTGTGCCTAGCCAGTGTCCTGCAAAAACACAAGTTTCTGTAGGGCCAAGGTGAGTGCACAAAGTTTGGGATGGGATCTGTGAGCACTGACAGGGAAAAGACATGGGACAGGAAAACACTTTACAAGAGGAAAAACTCCAGGCAGCAGGGATATGATCAGGGAATGAGAGGAAAATAAAATCAGAAATGTTGCAGGAGGGAGATTTCAGAAATCTCTGTATGATTCCTTTCAGTGCACACAGCTTCCTCTGAGCAAGCCCCCTTGCCTCCTCTCCCACCCAGAAAAGCCTCTGTCCTCACAGAATCACAGAATCACTAAGGTTGGAAAGGACCTTCAAGATCATCAAGTCCAACCGTTAACCCAATGCCACCGTGTCCCCTAAACCATGTCCCGAAGCGCCACATCCACACGGTTTTTGAATACTTCCAGAGATGGTGACTCCACTCAAGAGTCAAGTCCACTCAGACAAGACTCAGGGCTGTGGGGTCCAAGGTGTGACCGCCTCCTCTGCAGCCAGAGCTCCAGCAGAGCTGTGGTGCAGTTCTCCAGTTACGTGTCATTTTTGTCTGCAGAGCGAAGAGCTGAGAGCAACTGCCTGGTAATATTGAGGTCTGGGAGGCAGCATGCACAGCTGGGTAAGGAGAACGCTTTCCTGTGTGCCTCCTCTCCTCGCTTTGCCTCCCCTCCCCCTCCCCTCTCCGCTCCCCGCTCCCCTCCCCTCCTCTTCCCTCTCACAGATAGACTGTTAATGTGTATTTCCTTGTTACCCCACTTGACAGTGTTATTGCTACAGTTATCTTGTTCTTGCTGCCAGGCTCTCTGGGGATCAGTTTCATCTGGCAAACACTGATGTTGTGAGGCCTTTCACGGGCAATCCTTTCACTTTGCAGGACTCTCTCTGTTCTCCCTGAGTGCAGCAGAAATGCTGGGGGTTTCTGACAAGCAAAATGCTCAACAAGTGATATGGAGGACAGCTGTAAAAAACCCAATTCAAACTTCCTTTTGCAATCCCCATTGCTTAGCAATGCAAGTGCAGGTGCTGACACACCCTCCTGCATTTTAGGAGTGGTTTCATCTGAAAAATGTAAACATCAGGACTGGCTTCTGCCCCCACCATCCCATGATCCCACTGCTGCAGAGCAGGGCCAACTCCTCTGGAGGCATTGCTCCTTATGGCACATTCAGCCAGCACAAGCCAGAACTCCAGCCGTGCAGATGAAGGAAGGTCTCCTAGAAGAGGAAAAGAGGGGCATGTAGCAGGGGGAAGTTCTTTGTGAAATGCCTTTGATTTTGCTCAGACAAGACTCTCCTAACCTTTTACTGTCTTTTCCTCCTTGAACAGTGCTGCATGTGCAGAAGCAGCAAATGTCCAATGGCAGCTCCATCACAGAGTTCTTCCTCCTGGCATTTGCAGACACACGGGAGCTGCAGCTGTTGCACTTCTGGCTTTTCCTGGGCATCTACCTGGCTGCCCTCCTGGGCAACGGCCTCTTCATCACAGCCATAGCCTGTGACGACCGCCTCCATGCCGCCATGTACTTCTTCCTCTTCAACCTCTCCCTCCTCGACCTGGACTCCATCTCTACCACTCTCCCCAAATCCATGGCCAATTCCCTCTGGGAAACAAGGGCCATTTCCTACTCAGGATGTGCGTCCCAGGTCTTTTGCCTTCTCTTCTTGGTTGCAGGGGGGTACTGTCTTCTCACCGTCATGGCCTATGACCGCTATGTTGCCCTCTGCAAACCCCTGCACTACAGCACCCTTCTGGGCAGCAGAGCTTGTGCCAAAATGGCAGCAGCTGCCTGGGGCGGTGGTTTTCTCAAGGCTGTGCTTCCCACTGCCAATACATTTTCACTACCACTCTGCCAAGGCAATGCTGTGGACCAGTTCTTCTGTGAGGTCCCTCAACTTCTCAAGCTCTCCTGCTCAGAATCCTACCTCAGGGAAGTTGGGCTTCTTGTGATTAGTCTTTGTGTAGCTTTAGGGTGTTTTGTTTTCATCGTGCTGTCCTACGTGCAGATCTTCAGGGCTGTGCTGAGGATCCCCTCTGAGCAGGGACGGCACAAAGCCTTTTCCACATGCCTCCCTCACCTGGCTATTGTCTCCCTGTTTGCTAGCACTGCCACGTTCACCTACCTGAAGCCCCTTTCCATCTCCTCCCCATCCAAGGATGTGGTGGTGGCAGTTCCATATGCAGTGGTACCTCCATCAGTGAAACCCCTCATCTACAGCGTGAGGAACCAAGAGCTGAAGGATGCCATTAGGAAGGTGATTTCATGGATGTTTCTCAGTCAGTCATGATGACTTTCCCATCACTCTCTACAAATGACTGCCATTCTAGGCCTATGCTTTGTTGTTTTTAATTTTGTCACGATTAGTATTAGTATCATTATTGTTATGCTAAATATCATGATCATAATTGCTATCATTCTCATTTTGTAGTAATTTTTGGTTATTATGCTCCTACAGAAATGTTTGGATTCATCTCCCTTCGGAGTAGTTAACCTGCTCTGTCTCACCTGGAGCCTGTATAAATATATATCCAACAATGGGTCAGAGCTGACTCCCTCCTAGCATCTCTGTAATAAAAATGGATCTCCCAAGCGCAGTGCCTGGAGACTCAACTTGTCTTCCAAGGCTGGTGCCAAGAATAGGCATGAGCAACTGCACCCCAAAAGGGCCTGTTGCTCCACGGGTTCAGGAGCAAACAGCTCATTGTCATAGTGTGACCTGTTAGAGATCAAGGGTTGGATTAGGAGTTGGATTTAGACACCTCTTGGTGTCTGGTACCAGACAGTGGAGATGGTGAATGTTCCCTGAGGTACATACCCAGGGGTGTTCAAATGTGACATGTGGATCATGTGCTTAAGCAGGGGTGTCTGGAGCTGCTTGGAGAGCCCAGGGGATCTCCATGTACCGTGTGTGCCTGTGGTTGGCAGTGAATGAAACCGCACAAAGTGGTGGAGTCACCCAAAGGGAAAGTGCTAAATCCAGGTATCTGCAGGGAAATAAAGGCTCTGCAATCCCAGAGGAGGCAGTGGGGACCCAGCAGCCACAAGGAAGGGAGGCTGGAGAGTGATTTATGTCACCCTCAGGCAATGGCTGAACGTACCTAGTGTCCTTGGAAGTACACCGTAGTCCATTAAAACACCTACCTGTGAAGGAGGATTAGCAGCGGTGATACCCATCCACCTTGAGGCCGTATGAGTAGTATCAGGAGGGGGCCAGAAATGTCCAGCCAAATCAGAGGATGGATGGGGAGATGGATGGATCAAATGGGGAGTGACCTGTTCTAGAAATTGTCTCAAATAGAAAAATGCTAGTATTCATCTAATCCAAGGCAACATCTGGACTGTGGGTACCTACCATAATCATGGTGCAAAGACAGAAGTTTGCTGTTCTGGTGCTCCACTAGGCCTGGGAAGTGGCTGAAGAAGCCTGGTGCTCCCCACTCCTTATACATAGTGCCATCATCCCTCCCAAGTGGTGTCATGGAGAGGGAGTCTGGGACCCTGCGTCAGGTCGTGCACTGAAGGAAGCATGACCCAGCAGCCGGGTGAGTTTCCTGCTGTCCCTCAGTCCCTCTGCCTAGCACATGTCCTTGAGACAGTCTACCCCACCCATCCCCTAAACATCAGCCCTAGGCCTGGCCCTTCCTACCTTTCATTTCCAGCCCTGGCCAGTTTCTACCTTTCATTTCCATCCATTTCCACCACCATGGTCCGGGTTTGGGCTGACCTTTGAAGTGCGACCAGCCCCGTCTACATCGGGAGAGTGTGCAGCCCTTCCCTCGCTCACACATGCCCAGGCCCTGGCAGAGCTCAGAGCAGGACTGTCTGTGAACCCCTGCATGGGACAAAAGAATTTCCCACCAGCCTCAGCTGAGTCTGGGCAGGGATCGAACACTGGGCACACTATGAAAGCAGAAGGGGTGTGGGGGGACGAGGCACTGAGGACTCTTGTACAGAGCATACCAGGGGCATGTGTTCCCACCTCTGAATGGACCCTGCACAGTAAGGCACTGGCACGGTAGGGCTGTGGGGCTGCATGTGGGGCAGTGGGGCGAGGCTGGTGCTGGGATGGGAGTACTACTCACCAGTGCTGCGTAGCGGTGAAGGGTCATCACCTCCTTCACCCTGCTGGCAACACCCTTCCCGATGCAGCCCAGGGTGCTGGTGGCCACCTTTACTGTGAGAACACATTGCTGGCACATGTCCAATTTGTTGTCCACCAGGACCTCCAGGTCCTTTTCTGCAAAAGATTCTTCCAGCTGGTCAGTCTCCAGCATTTACCTGTGCATGGTGTTATTCCTGGGAAGCCCAACAATTCAGAGGGTTTGCAGCCCACCTCACTTTCCACTTGTCTAGTCTCTATTTGGGCACCTTGTCATGAGGGTGTTTTGGGAAACTAATTCAGTGAAGGCTGAGGTGAGGAAGGCATTGAGTGTCTTGGGCTTTTTCATATTCTTTGTTACCAGCACCCCTGGAACATGTAGCAGTGAGCCCACATTCCATACCACATGAGCCCACATGAGTCTTCCTTTTGCCCGCTTATTACTTGTAGAAGCCTTTTTTTGTTCCCCTCTGGTCCCTTGCCAGATTCAACTTGAGGTGGGCTTTGGCTCTCCTAATGCCATCTCTGCATGCTTAGGAAGTTATCACTGATGCCCTCTAGAAGCTTTCTGGGTGGTTTGTGCCCTGCTATGTTGTCCCTCCAAAGGCCTCATCTTCTTTCTGATCAAGCAGCCAATAACAGACACCCACTTAAAGGTCACCCATGTTGGCCTGCCTGCCAATCCTGACTCTTGACCCCTAAACTCTTGACTGGTTCATCATCTATCCCAAGGCAGAGCTCCATGCTTTCCCACTGCTCTCTCACTTGAAGGGAAACTCCCTCTTCTTGTTGACCGGTCCTGTCCTTCCTGAAGAGCTTTTATCCAGCCAGCTATCTGTCTGTCTGTCTGTCTGTCTATCTATCTGTTCATGCACGCATGCATGCATGCATCCATCCCAGCACTCCCACCATGCCTCTTATCGCCTGAGATCATAGCTCTGGAACTGCCCACAGACTTCTAAATCCTCCTATTTTATTCCCCAGGCTGCATGCATTAGTGTACAGGCACTTCAGAGAGGTGCCCAGCCATGCTGATTTCCCAGAAAGGGTATGAGAGCTTTCACCACAATGCTGTCCCATAGGCAATTCCTTATTTAGGCACTTATGCTCGGGGTGATTGCACTTCAGCCCTGCTTTGTTGATTGTTATGCTTCTTTTCTTTATATAAAACTTTGCTTGCCTACCCCACCCATTACTTCCTCACTCCTCCAAAATTCCTGTTTAAAGCTCTTCTTAACTGGTTTGCCAGTCTGTTAGCAAAGATAATTTTACCCTACTTTATCAGAGGGTAATTTCACCCCATCTCTTCCAAGAGGTTGCTGATCCTCAGAGAAGTTCTTATGGTCATAGAAACTAAAATCTTATTCCTTATACCAGCTGCACAACCAAATGTTGACCCACAGAAACTGTCCAGTGCGTAAACCTCCGCATCAGCAAGGTCAAGAACAACAACACCTAGGTCACCATGCCCTTGATCATCACCCCCAGAGTCATTTAGTTATACTCTATACCCGTCTTGCGTTAAGAGGCAGAGCAATTTGGCAGAAATTAAACCCCCTTGCATTCCAGTCGATCCTCAGATATCAGAGGGACTGGGGACGGCTGAGGTTCAGTTCTGAGTGATGCCCAAAGTCCGCGTTAGTAGTCCGGTTGCACCCAACACCCCTGTTGGGCTATCACGGGTCCGGATGCACTGCTAACATCACACGACCTGCTCAGCCAGACACCTCCTGAATTGGCACAGCCACACTCAAAGGTACAGTCACATTCAGGGACAGCACACTCGGCTGAGTCAATCAATAGTGCGATTTATTGAAGCAACAGATGCACAAATTCTTTTAGGTTGCGGTGATAAATTCACTGTCTGCAGAGCACGTGCAGTAAATTAAATACGGCCAGGTTACACACATGTGTGGGGTAATAAAGCAACTCTGTAGAATTCCTCAAGTTCCCGGGGATCCACTCGGGATAGCCGAGTGTTCGACTCTTACCCAAAGGCATCCCAATGCGGGGGAAGAGAGGGTCAGCCCGTCGGTGGATCCTAAAGGTCAGGAGCGATGGTATCTTCCCTGACATCCACCCCTTCTCAAACTATTTTATAGTGTTTTCCTTTGCAGGTGGAGCTTGAGTGACTCTAGTCATACGTACCTTTATCAGGGTTGGTCCAAAATTCTCTCACTTCGCGTTTAAAGGCACAGACTAGGAAAAATTCAGTGCGCACGCTCATTGAGGGCTGGTCGCACCTTGGGAGGTGGGTAACTTTTGAGATGAGTGTGCGTTTTGGTAATATAATGGTATTATAATAAGCAAAGTTCACTCCGAGTACAGCATCTCATCAAAAGTTGGCAGACAGTTGGCCCAGGGCATCGAGCGTGCAGCTTATTAATTTACACAGTGTACCTTTAGATTCCCTAGTTCACAGGGCATGGCCACGATGTCTCCATTCCGCTCCACCCTCCACGCAATTTCTCCCAGAGTCAGCACACCAAGTTCCCCTGATGTTGCCAACATCTGGGGATGCCTAGGGAATAGCCACGTACAGACTCGTTGTACATCAGCTGCGTTCCACCCTGCTTCAATGCTGTGAATGTAAGTTAGATTTCTAAGCCCCGCCCCAGCGATTATTCCGCAACCTGTTTGGCTGTATCATTGATGCTGTTATAAATGATTTAGTCCCAAACTGGATTCCAATTCAAATTTACAATTTATTAAGCGAATAGAGGCAAGCAAACAGCGCTGGGTGCGCCGAGAGTCTCTGCTCCACCAAGACGCACGCGGTACACTTCCTGTTCCTGGTTTATATCCTGTCCGTTAATACATATTCATGAACAGGCGTGTCTTCTTCCGCGCATGCCCTCTTCTCCTTCTAGAATCGTCTCGAATCTTCCTCAGCGTGATCCTGTTCGCCAATACATATTCATGAATAGGCGTGTCTTCTAATACATATTAATGAACAGGCGTGTCTTCTTCAGCGCATGCCCTCTTCTCCTGCTAGAGTCTTCTCGAATCTTCCTCGGCGTGCCCCCAGGATGACCCCAAACCCTATGCATGCACTTTCTTTACACAATACTATGTGGTCAGTGGTAAAACTGGTTTGAACTGATATACCAGCAAAGTAGTTTAACTTTCTCCTGTAAAATACCCCTTTTATGGTGTAGGAGAAATCCATAAAAGTACAGAAGATTACA